AAATCGAGCTGAAAGATCAGCATCGGTCGGATCAACCCATGTCTGCCCATCATGCTTCTTTGTCTTCGTATGGACGATGACTTCTTCCACCCAGATAGGCGCTCCTTTCTTTGCAGCCTGTGATATTAAAATTATATATATATATATATATATATATATATATATATATATTTATATATTTATATATATATGTTCTCACAATTTGAGAATCCTAATTAACAAAGGAAAAGGAATCCCTACACAAGGAAACTACCAAAACTAATATATACGAAAATATATTCCAAATATTCTCTTTCCTTTTACATTTATCTCTTCAATTAAGCTTCCTCCCTCCCCTCGCACTCTTTTCCCAAACCCGTCGCTGAGTTTGAAGCTTTGAACCCAAAACCGAAATCATCACTCTTCTCTCAATTGTTTGTCTAACTGGTGGAACCCAAATTCAAAACCAGTAACCTTGATGGATGAGTTTTAATGTTTATTTTATTTGCAATTGCTTGGGATTAACCGATAAAACTCATCCATAAAGCTTATTGGTTTTGATTTTAGGTTCCACCTGGAAGACTAATAATTGAGAGAGGAATGATCATTTTAGTTTTGGGTTTAGAGCTTCAAACTCAGCGACGAGTTTGGGAAGAGTGCGAGGGGAGGGAGGAAGCTTAATTGAAGAGAGAAAAGAGTGTGAATTTACAATTTTATCTACGTTCTTAACGAAAATGTTAACAAAGGACCATTCGTGGAAATGAATATAATAATTGGGGACTAATTTAGTAATATTTGATATGTAGGGACTAAATATGTAAATCGACCTATAACTGGGACCTATAATTAGAATTTACTCTTATTTTTAATTCAATTTATTTGATTGTATGTGTGAGTAACTTTATTTTTAGTTCAATTTATTTGATTGTAGGTGTAAAATAAAAAAATAAAATTTATATATTTAAAAACTACATTAAAAGTTTTACAAAACAAGAGGTGATAAGACAATATTATTTTATCAAATAAATAACGAAAATCGATTAAAATGTATTTAAAATTTAACCGGGTAAATAGTATAACTGGGAATAACGTTTTAGAAAGGGGTAGTTTGCATAACACAAGTCCTAGCCATAACACTAGTCATGGACTCGTAGCTAGTACGATCTTGCTCAAGTTTGAAAAGAGGAATGCTAGGGGTACACCAAAGGTGTACCCCAAATGTACATCACCCCCTTTTCCACTACCCATTTTTATTTTATTTTTAATTATTTTTTTTTTTAAATTTCTTACCTTTTTTTGTGGACAAGGAGGGGGTGAGGGACAAATGGGGTACACATTTGGTGTACCCCTAGCATTTTTCGTTTGAAAATGATTGTCACATTCGAGTGCAATTAGTCTTTGAACCATGCTACACTTACACCAAAAATTGTACTACATTTGTACCCCGCAGTTATACACAAATATTTTGATGGTATACACCGACACAAGTGTTGGTGCATTAATAAAAATTAGTTTTACACCAACACAAAATGTTGGTGCAAACATGCAGGGTACAAAGTGGGGTACAACAACTTTGTGTACAAATAGCTTTATCCTTAGTCTTTTACTTCCCTCTCTAGCACAAAACATTTTTTTTCTTTTTTAATCTGTTCCAAAAAACATTTTTCATTTTTAATAAAAATTCACTTTTACCCTTATTAATTCTTTACATAACTATCACTTTACACTCTTTCAATATTAATCTATCTATCACATTAATTTTACCTATCACATCCAATGACGTTTTTGAAAAGTCAACACTAAAATACACTTTTTTAAATCCTTTAAAAGTCCAAACGAGAAATGTTTTGTGAGACGGAGGGAGTACTTAAGTTCAAGAACTAAATAAGACCACTAGTTCAAGTAGAAATTACCCTAAATAAGACTAAAATATACAAGTACTTTCATATTTTTATTTCCGAGATAGGAGTTCGCACTCTGACAATGTGGAGGTAATGTGACACTCTACACGTACACATTACTATACTTTTTGGTAATGTACATGACCACGTTTGGTGATGTAAATGCATTATAATTCCTATTTCGGGAATAAAAACGTGAAAGTTATATTGTATTACTATATTTTCAATGTTTTACTTCTACTTTGATCTTTTTCTCTAGTTCAAGACAGAATCGATCTCAACGATTCAGTCCGATCTCATTATATCTCGATTTGTTTTTTCAATTCTAATCATTTTTTTCTTTCTTGTATACATAGTCTCACTTAAATTTCGTGTTTCAAGTTTTAACCTCACCAACTCCTTTCAATGTTCAAACCGTTTGTTCACTAATTTGGACTTTGGAATAATAATCGTAGGTCACTATCGGGTTGCATAATTTGAATATTACATCAAACGGAGTACTCTATATCCCTAGCAGGTCGCTATTGGGTTGCATAATTTGAACATTATAGAGGTAGATTCAAATATGTTGTCTTGAAAACTATAAATTATAGTTTTCAAGACAACATATTTGAATCTACCTATCAAATTTTACTTTATTCATCACATCAAAATATTTTCTTTATAAATTTAATATCAAAATACATTTCTCCTAAATCTCTTAAAAATCAATAACTTCCATGTTTTTAGGACCGGATGAAGTGCATAAGAAGATCTACAAAACAAGATATTACAAAAATATTTTATTTTTTCAAATGAGTAATGAAAACAAAGTGCATAAAATTTAATTTTATGAATAGTGATGTGTGTATTCCACCCAGGACCGATCAAAAGGAGATGACCAAATACGTGACTGGCCAAATTGATTATACTAGAAAGGGAGACCTCAATCGTCAGTAGAAGGAGGTACGGTTGACCGAGAAAGTTGACCGATATACTTCGGATAGTCTACCGGTCAAACTATTCTATCCGTCATTTATTCCCCAATTTCAGTTAACCCATTCCACGGAATCAACCTGGTATGATTTCTGAAGTTGGAAAGTGTCTGCAAAGAAAAATCAAAATGAGATTGGACCGTAGCGACCAAGATCAACGGAGAATTGCTGGAGATACTTAAGCAATCCATCCAAGGTGCTACACGACAAAGGGAGTTGATAAGTCCGTTTCAATCTTACCATTTTAATCATATTTTAGTGTTATTGCACGTAAATAATGTTTAATCATTTCATAAATAGTGCATCTCATGAATAAAATACTTTAATTTGTTCTAAAAGTCATAAAAAAAAGAGTTCTTGAGAAAAATTAGTGCAAATCATCCTTTTTATGATTAAATATATGAGAAAAAGGTAAAATAGTCAACTCCGGTTCGAGAACGGACCCTTACAAGGTCAAAATGAGCATCCCGGGCCAAAAAGGGACGAATTGGGCCCAAAATCTCACCTAGGTCGCGTGACCTGGTGCTTGCGCCGAAAGGAACAGAAGCCGAGGCGTCCAGGTCGGACGCCCGGAGACCTGGACGCCCTGATTTATGGACGGCCGGGCCAACGTGCGCTCCAAGCAAGCCACGTGGCGGACGCGAAGCGGCTAACCCGCCTAGGCGTCCGGATCTTGGACGCCTGGCACGGACGCCCGGGGTTGGACGCCCCGGGTCCGTATCTATAAAAGGCACGCGCCTGTTCTCTGAAAAGACATTCCAGAGCAGCTTTTCTGCACCCTTTTTCGGGTTTATACCCCAATTTCGAAATATCCCCTTAAATAATATTAGTTTAGGATTATTTTATAGAGAATTCTGGAGCCATTGTCGCCCAGATCTCTTTTCAAGACTCTGAGCTGTTATTCTGCGTATTCGGAAACGGTAAGTAAACTTTATTTTAATTTAATGCTTTCATTCTAGTTTATTATTTCCATAGTATGAGTTAGGGTTCGGACCCTAAGGGTACGGACTAGTTTGGGTTTCTACTTTTATTAACTAAATTAATG